AAAGAGACAGGAGTTAATGAATGACAAAGATACAAAAATGTGTGACCCTTTATTAAATTTACACAAGCACCAATGTTTCTATTGCCAATCACCTCAGACCTAAAACTGCATGCTTCCTGTGCAGATTCAGAAAAACATAAAGACAGAGAAACAGAGAGCCAGAGAAATACTAAGACCAAGTTGGAGAGAAAGAGAAAGTGGCTGGGAGAAACACAGAGGGGTTCAGAGTTTGAGGAAGAGGTGAAAATACCATCCTCTCAATTTAGGATGTGTTTTGGGGAGCTGAGCAGCCTTGATATGATCCTCTGTACATAAGCCTCTTGGGTGGGACCATACTTCAGTGTGTGGGTTCATTCATTCATGCTCTTAACAAGGATTGGCTGAGCACCTCCTGCGTGAAAAGAACAGTGTCAGCTACTGGAGATAAGAGAAGGGAAGGAGATAGACATAGCCCTTGCCTTCTTGAAGCTTAAAGACAGATCTTAACTGATGACATAATAAATTTATTAATTACAATTGAATCAGGGACTATGGACAAGTAGTACAGGATGCTTTGACAGCTTATGGGGGTGAATGGGGGACTAATGTTAGCTTCTCCCTGGTGGAAGGTAGGAACTGACCTCCGCTGTCGGTTGCCAGAGCTTTAAACCCCACACCTGTGCTTCCTCCCTGCCTGACCACGCCTCTTTCCCCCTTCTCTCAGTCTCTCCACTGCGAGATGTGAGGATTTCTGTCTGGCTTTGGAGATGTGGGGTAGGGAGTGCTCCACCCCCTTGGTGACATCAGAGAGCCAGCTCTCCTCCCGACACATGATTTGAGGCCTTGAGGCCCGGGCTGCCAGTATTGGGATTCTGTCTCAGTGATGTCTTCCTTAGTTTGCTCTGTTTTCAACTTGTGGGGAACCTTACCTCTCAACTCTCCCTTTCCGCTTCCAAAATAGTGACCAACTTTATTCATATATCCATTCATCTGGTGGTTGTTAAGTGCTCAAATCTCATCCTCTTCTGCCTTCTCTGCCATCTCTCCTGCACTTTATCCTTTTCCTCTTTATTGGCTCCTTACCATTAGCTTTTAAACATATCCAAGTCTCTCCCATCTTTAGACGAACTTCCTTTTACTGTACTCTCCACCCTATCTCTGTCTTCCTTCTTACAGTCAAAGTTCTTGAGAAAGTTGCCTACACATGGGGGTCTCCATTTCCTTTCCCCTCACTCCCTCACCTTTGCAAGCTCACTCCTCATATGGTCACCCCTAACTTTGCAGGGACACTCTGCAGTCCTTATGCTGCTTGACATCTCAGCAACAGCCAACACAGTTGACCTTTTCAGCAGTTCCTTCTCTGTTGCATAAGGAAGGACTTTGCTTGCTTCTTAAACTCCAGAAGTCTGTCTGAGATCCTGTACCCTTTGCATTCTATACACCATAGGTGATCTTATTCTCTCCCCAGCTCAAATGACCTCCATTCGTTGCTGGCACCATATCTCTGGTCCAGATCTTTCTCTGGAGCTCCAGTCTAATCCATTGTCCACTGAAAAACTCCACTTGGGTTTTTCACAGGTACTACAAACATAGTATGTTCTGAACTGAACTTGTCAGCTTCCCCCCCAAATCTGTTTCTCTTCTAGTACAACTATTAAGTTAAATATACTTATTTATTTTTGGCTGCGTTGGGTCTTTGTTGCAATGCACAGGCTTCTCATTGCAGTGGCTTCTCTTTGTTGCGGAGCATGGGCTCTAGGCACACAGGCTTCAGTAGTTGTGCCTTGCGGGCTCTAGAGCACAGGCTCAGTAGTTGTGGTGCACGGGCTTAGTTGCTCCGCAGCATGTGGGATCTTCCCGAACCAGGGCTCAGACCCGTGTCCCCTGCATTGGCAGGTAGATTCTTAACCGCTGTGCCATCAGGGAAGTCCCTATTTATTTATTTTCTTTTTTGGCTGCACCATGCTGCTTGACGGATCTCAGTTCCCCAACCAGGGACTGAACCCGGGCCATGGCAGTGAAAGCCCGGAATCCTAAAATCTAGGCCACCAGGGAACTCCCAAGTTAAATTTAAATTTATAAATATTTATTGAATGCTTACTATCATACGTGCCAGGGCAAGGACCATGTGCTAGGCATTGTCAATTAAGATGCCCTCTCTTGGGGAATTCCCTGGTGGTCCAGTGGTTAGGACTCAGCTCTTCCACTGCAGGGGGCATGGGTTCCATCCCTGGTTTGGGAGCTAAGATTTCTCATTTTTTGGCATGGCCAAAAAAAAAAAAAAAGATGCCCTCTCATAACAATTAAAATACAGTGTGATAATCACCATGATAGGGGAAATACTATCATCTGTTGGCGTACATAGAGGATGTGTACCCCATTGCCCATGCCAGAAACCTGGCAGCCAACCTTAATTTCTCTTGTTTCCTCACCACTCACATTTAATTGATTACTAAATCTTTCCAACCTGTCTACTTCCTTTAATCCCTACAACTACTGCCCTTTTTAGCCCAGATAATATGACCTTTGAACTAGTCTCCTTGCATATAGTTCTGCTCCTCTCCAGTCCATTCCTGGCACAGCAGCCAGAGTGATGCTTCTAAAACATAAAAATGGTCTGCCACTCCCCTGACTTAACCATTCAAAGGCTTCCCATTTTCCTCAGAGTAAAGTCCAAATTTTACAGTGTGGTTTACAGAGACTTTCTCCTTTTAGCCCAGTGTTTTCACACTCCCCACCACAAACTCCATACTCCAGCCACACACTGCTTCCTCACATTCCTAAACAGCATTGAGGTCTCCAGTCCTTTGCATAAGTTGTTTCCTCTGCCTGAAACACTTCCTCTCCCCACTCCTACCAACCTCCACCAGGCTAACTCTTTCTCATCAGCTAGATCTCAGTTGAAAGGCCATTTGCACAAGAAGGTCTCTCTTAACCCCTTAGAGTCGGGTAGGGGCCCTAACTAGGAGACCCTACAGCAGACTTCACATTCCCACATTATAACTTTCATGACACGTTAAAGGTTATTTGACTTTCTGACTTCCCAGGAAGTCTGTGAGCTCCGCTAAGGCAGAAGCCTATATCTATTTTGTGAATAATCGTATCTTCAATGCATTGTATAGCACAAAGTAACCTCTCTGTACCTCAGCTCATAAGTACAATTAGGTATTAATTAATCTTAAAGGTATACAAAGATGATTAAGAAGGGTCCCTTTCTCAATTACTGATACGTGCTTCCTTGAATAACGTATACTTATTGACAAACTCTTAGCCTTCTTACTCTGCCTCAACTTACCTTTTTCCTTTACATGCTCCCTTCCCTTTAAATGAGATTGCCTGGCTGCATATGCGCTTTAGAATGGTATTAAATCAATATTTAATAGTCACATTCTTTTTTGTTAATAGGATATGTACCCTAATTTTCATTGTGTTACTAACGTACGTTTATCATAACTCTCAACTCTAAAACTCTGATTCTTATGAACTCGAATCGAGAGTCAGCCATTGCGAATAGCCGCTATCATGACATCGCCACTTCAGCAAGATGACTGGGGGCCTCGGTTTCCGTCACCGCCCTTGGGCTGCGTTACAGGATTAAAGCGCGCCGAGCCCCACACGTAAAGGTCTCCTCGGCCCTCCCACCAAAAAAGTGCTGCTCTGGCACTGCATCTACTGCCTCTCCATCTCTATGACAGTCTTTTCCTGTTTCCTAGTGTTGCATGATGGGAGAAATAGTCTACTTTCCGGGAGTCTGGCCGGGGGAAAGGCCGCATTCGGAACTCCATTTCCCGGCGTGCTTCGCGGCGGTCGCTCATCCCACTGGCGGGAGACCGGTTCCGGTTGCATCAGCGTGGGATCCACGGCGAAATGAGGCTGTTCGTGAGCGAGGGCGCCCCGGGGAGCCTGCCCGTGCTGGCCGCGGCCGGGAGGGCCCAGGGCAGAGCGGAGCTGCTTATCAGCACTGTAGGCCCGGAAGGTAGTCTGCTGGTGCTGGTGGGCGGTGGATGAGCCGGGCGGGACTGAAAACACGCCGACGACCCCCCTACAGTTGTCTTCGTCAACCCCGCCCCCGCCACGCACTCCCGTCAACCTTCTCCCGCATTATCCTTGGGCACCCCATCCCCTCTTTCTTCCCAGTCGTACCTTTCATCCGTCACTTCCCTTAATTACCCTCAGTGTACCCTTCTCTTGCCTCTCCTCCTTCCTCTTCCAGGACCTCGCCTCACTCCAGTGAACCTCTT